TGATAAAGATTGGAAGCCTCAAGCTTACCAAGCAACTGTGGATTATCTTACGAAATCATTGAGCGTTAATGTAACCAAGGAGCAAGTCAAGAATAAAGTAAGACAATGGCGAAAACATTTCTCTATTATTAGTGAAATCAGAAGCCATCAAAGTGGGGTTCCATGGGATGAAGAAAAGAAGATGATTGTTATAACAACAGATAATATGTCAGCATGGAAAGACTATGTTCGGGAGAATGGAAAGGCAAATGTATATGCAAATAGACCTATAGAAAGGTGGGATGATATTGTTATGTTGTGTGGGACAGATGGAGCAACCGGTGAAGGTGCTGAAACATTTGAAGATGCTGATGAAGCAATGGTGGGAGAGGATGAAAATGATGTAGAGTACTCAATACCACCTGCTGCCCCACCAACACAGCCTTCCACATCATCTACGATTGAGTCCCATCAAAAGAAACGGAGGAAAGATCCATTGGTTGCTATTGTTGGTGACATTGCTTCATCACTCAAGGAGTACATGAACTTGAAAAAGAAACCAAGTGGTCAAGAAATATATGAAGTGGTATCAACAATTTTGGGTCTTTCTCAACAAGAAATATTCAAGGCAGTCCAATTGTTATTAAATGGTGATCCTAAGCAATTTTATTTGCTAAAATCACTTCCTGATGACAAGAAATATGATTGCTTGGCTTTCCTTTTAAGTTCAGGTTGTATTTTTAAATATAATTGTCTTTTTATATTTTATATTTTCTAATTTATAGAATCTAATTCTTTGATCTTGTCTTATTATTCAGTTGGTTTCTCTGGCACAAGCAGTACATGAAATGGTATGTTGAAGCTTTCAATTTATTAATCACGTTGAAGGTTCTATAAACATATAAATTATATTTCTCTATTATCAGTTCTAGTTTTTGTTTTTCTGGATTGGAGCTACCATACAGTTGATTAGCTATAAAATAACATTGCTAGATTGGCTTGCATATTGATAGGTTTAAGTGGAATGAGCTTTGTTTACTATTATCTGCTTAGGTTGCACTTGGCCATGGAATTTCGTACACCAGTGTTTAGTGCATTGTTTGATTTACCACATTACAGCCTTTTTTCTTCTTTTTTTTTGTGTTTAACTGGATTAGTAAGAGGGGCAATATGCCTTCAGTTTACATGTTATCACTAATTACAAAAATTATTGTAATGTCTTGATATTCACATGGTTGAAGATAAGTTTCGCATTTGATCTGGTGGACCAATAAGGAGGACGAATGCATGGACGAATGACTTGGCAAGCCACATCATTACACTTCATTAGCTGTTTTCTCTGTGCTGTTCTGCTCTTGTGATAGTGCTACATTTGATTCCTAATATAAGATAGAAACATGAGCTGTTTAGCTTGAGTTTTTTTACAAGTTATTTTTTTTATTAACTGTTGTAAATCACCGAAGAAGGAAGGAGGATTGGGTTTATAAGTTACTTACCTCTTCAATTTGAATATCTTTACCTCTTCGGTTTGAATATCTTTTGCTATGGTTTTAAA